TTTGTGAGTGCAGACAAAAAATTTTCGCTGTTCAATAAAGGCTTGGCTTGTAAATAGGATGGCTTGCTGCTATCGTACGTGCATTTCCTTTAGAATATTGTTATTACTGTAATGTTTTAGTGTAAATTCCGTTTTTTACTTATTCTCATCTACACTCAGAAATTGATGAGGCTTTAAGCGTAGGGATAACTGTAAAATATGGAAGTTTCATCGAATTTTTAAATTAATTTAAAAAGATGGACGTTATTATTAAACCTGTATTGTCAGAACATAACTTTAAGCAACAGTGATCATCCTGCAGTTAGTAAACTCAAAAACAAAACAGTAATCCAGTGTTTTATCGAATGACTGTTGATTCTTCGACGGAGCTACATATATGAGTATTATGACCTCTATAGCACTGAGCTACTCATCGAAAAATATTCTTGTTCACACTTTATTCATGCTCATACTCTTGCATGTCGCGTCGCTTGTGTTCATCCTCCTCACGATGTTCGTACCATCGAACCTGAGCCTTTTTTCGGTGCGGGAGGAAATGACGCCGCACATCTTTTTATGTTCGCTTCCTCGTGCCTCTGTGATGATGTGATGAACAACGTTCCCGTCACCATACGTCCGCTGTGTGAACGGCTCCGAATAACGGTCGAACACCGAAACATAATTTTGGGTTGGAAATATGGGATAAGGATATCACGTTGTACCGGGAGCTGCGTATCAGAAGTTTAACAGCACGGATTTGGAACTAAAACCATGCTTTGCGTGATAGTGGGAATTTATTAAACGAATTTATTAGCAACGAAAAGGTATGATTTGTAGTAAACTTATTAAATTATAAAAATCCATGATTTGTGTAATTCGGATCTTGTAAGACCTTTATCATTGTATTAATTTTTGTAGTATTGAATACTGTACTGTTCGCACTGATCAAAGGCTAGCAGTGGGCACGCGTTTGAGGGAAATCAATCGGCATAATGCTAGTACGATTCAGAATTGAGGCAAGGAACTTGTATGTAGAATTGGTATGCGTAGGTAAAACCAACTAATTATTTGATATACTGTTGAATACTAAGGAGTCAGGCTCAATATTATTATATGTTGAATTATTGCCAGATGCTCTTTATTCGCATTAATCTGGGAAAAAATTTTCTCAAAAAGTTGATCAACTACGTATTCCTTAATAGCATGAAATCCATTGACCAAATTTAACCAAAAATGTGATGTTAACCGAACCTGCTCTATATAATTCAATTCAATCTTCCTTGAAATCTTTACCATTAGTGAGACTATGTACAGGAAAATAATAAAGAAATGAGAAATATCGTCACATCCCTGTGGTTCGGGGTGTGGAGGCTGCCTTATGCGCATGACCGAAATTATCCACAGCGTTCAGGAGTATTTATATGAACATATTTCCTAACTATATTAAAGTTTTGATCTCAATGCAATAAACTCAATAAACAATTAATCATCAAAAATTAAAATCATTGTTGTTTATGACTTGTGTTTTCACAGTAAAAGATTATTTCGGAAACGATTAAAAATTGAGTCGTCACTTTTCATCTACCCGCCATTTGGCTGCACAGTTTTCACGCCTGAAGCTAGAGCTTGCTTTATTTCTTCAAAATTGTTCGGGGTTTAACAAGGTTACGCTACGAAATACAGAGTTTTATTTAATTTTAATAATGTCAGTATATCGCAACACAAAATAACATCATCAGCGAGTAGACTTCACTCAAGAAAAGAGTCTACCATGAAAGAAAAGACTCGTTATATTGAGAAAGAATTTCAGTGAACCATTTGCTAAATTCATAGGACATTGGCTTGTGGCTATGGATCGCTTGCGATCCATTGGCTTGTGCATAGGACACATTAAATTTTACAATCGCGCCCTTTGATACCAAAACTAAAGGCAACCTCTCAATATTCAGCAGTGGCTGCAGCAAGTCATCAGTAAGTTGCCCTGTGCGACATGCCAACCATGCAACTGATGCAAGATGCTGGTCTCTGGCCGAGATAGACCGGAGCTCAACTAACGACGAGTGTCTTCTTTCTCATTTAACAACCCAGTCGCTTACCCGCATGGCTTAGCGACTCTCCCTCACAAACCGGTTTTCAGTACAACCCTCAGTTGACTCCTCTTATACCCTCGAGTCATTGCTGGTTAATGCATCATCATTTAACATTTGAGACCCTGTGGTTTATTCATCGTAATAAAACGTGATTGCATCTAGTCGCATCGTACGTGCGTCTGCTTCTTGACAGCACGAAAAAGTGATGCTAGCATGCAAATATTTTTGAATAAAAAATTATATACCTTGTGATCACTTGTTTGTACTTACTGAAAATCTATCATGTCGTACCATTACACAGCAAATAGCACCTATACGAAAGCGATGTAAGCAATGCAAGTTCAAAGATGAATTAATTTCCTTCAATATAGCAAAGAACCCTGTTTCTTCCTGCAGGATTTGATAACCAGCACGTTTGAGCTAAGTGTTCTCCTCGATACACGACTACGTGACCACCACTGCAAGGTTACTATGAGGACAAGTCGGGCAAAACAGACCAATTATTCGTCATGTTCTGGCGGCTCAGATGTCGCTGAGTCGCCACATGGGTTCAGCTCAATCGCTCTCGTCCATGCACGGCAGAAGCCGACCGGCCTCCCGACGTATTTTTCTCAAAATTCGTGATGGGTAAATCAGATTCAAACGCACGTCTTGCGTGCAATGGGGCTGCCAAGAAACAGCGATCTTTTCATACAGTCGTGAGTGATCCTAATGTATACCGTGCATGATCCTGATGTATACCGTATGTGAAATTTAATTATCGAATGAATCCATACATTATAGAAATTTCTTAGAGATTATTTATAAATTCCGAACGTGCGTGTGGAAGGGAAGTTAGTTGCTCACGTTACCGACAGCGCACCAATTTGCAATCAACATTAGGGAAGGTAGAATCTGAATAAAAAATCAAAAGTGAACTTTTATGATACCTACTTGTAAATTCTATAAGATCTGAAACTATTTGCGTAATATAAGTTTTGAAAGCCTTCAACTTATCTAAAGCTTGTGAAACTTGAAAATATAGCAAATATAGAGCCATAAAAATTTATGCAACGAGAATCCCGAGGTCGATGCATTTTAAAAATTATGCATCCGATAGCTGGAAACTTTCGAAACCGTTTCCCCGCTCCCGATTAGGTCTGCCTCTTGACGGATGGCTTCCTCAAGCCAGTTTTTAAGATCATTTGGTGTGTGGCTCGAAGCATTCATTGTTAAAGACAATTGGACGCCGGAGGGCAAACCAAGCATAGCAAGTACGTCCGTACTTTGTCGCAACTCGGGGGGGAGCTCCGGTCGCATGCAGGCAGCTCTCTTCACTCTAGCAAGACTATCATATGACTTCGGGGGATTAAAAACAGGCTCTGTGGGAGAATACAAACCCGAACAGAGGTCTCTTTGTGCCCGGCAATTGTTTTGGTCACTCCCACCCGGCACATTCAAGAAGCACGTCTTGAGATAACTAATGTTCTTTTAAGACCCGTTATACATGAACTAAAACCGTATGAGAACACATGCGTCATGGCTAAAGTTTGCTATTGAAAAAAGGCTGCCAAAATTGCTATTGAACCTAATGACGTGTACATTAATAGTTTTTGCATCATGAATTAGCATCATGCAACCTGAATTTTATAACCATCTATGCGATTAGAAGCATTTTCAAATATCAAATTAAAGATGACCCAATTAAAGAAACGAACGGAGATTACTTCAACACTCACATAGACATCTGGAGTGCCCCGAGTTGTAATCGCCACTCTGAGTTATTTTTGTTCGAGTGTATTGAGTAAAATTCGTATACAGGATGTGCGAGCTCATTAGAAATGTTGTTGTGAGTAGTGCGAGATCGGACCATGCCCGCCCTGCTGTGCTGGGAACGGTCACCGAACGCATTCTCACACCAGCATAAAATTTTGAAAGACTCAAAAGTCGGGGCGAGTACTCAATTTGAGGTAAGATTGACAAAAAATAGAAGTGGAGCAACATCATGAGCAACATCAGTTGGGTCGGAATAGATTTTTCGGTAAACTAATTTTTTTTTCAACGGCATTCATTACACACGAATCGTGATGTCGACTGCCGTAAAAAAATAAATAAAATTATCTAAATGCTGAATCGAAAGAGTGAAAAAGATTTATCACGTTATCATCTAGTCTTTCAGTTACCTCAAATCTTGATGATTCCTGCATCACCATTCCATAGCGAAGTGAATTTTGAAGAAACAGTGACTTTCTCCCATTTTTGCGAGGTATGCACAGCGTGCATACAAGTCTTTTCGAGAATCAATATCTGAACCATCAATCGTTCATCAACATGGCAGCTGCATTAGATAGCAAAGTAACTTAAATTGTCTACTTTATTGGTTGATGAAAATCGTAGATTGATAGAATCAAGAGTCGTGATGCGAAACTAATCGATTAAATTTGAAAGGTTCCGTTTCTCAGTTTATATTAGCAAATCAGTTTCTGTGAAAGAAGTATTTCAGTTATTTAAGTTATTTCATTTGAAAAATTTTTTTCCTGATAGATTTTATACATCAGTTGAAAAACGTTTTAAAAGAATTGTGCAAGGGATGGAGTCAGGTTTGCGGCTTTCGAACATACGAAATCATTGATTAAATTCCGTGGCTACGTGAAAGTTCTAATAAACTATCCTAGATGGATTATGTGAAGTTTAAAAATTGCTGGGAAAATCTTCACAATACGCTCTTTTAACTTTATTTCTGGTAAAAAATTAGCTATCCTCAGAAGTGATAACGGATATAAACTATATAAGCGAACGTACTGTGGGCCAATAACATGCATCTCCTTTCAAATGCTCAATGAAAGCATCAGTGGTTAGCGTGGCAATACGCCGTAGGATGTATGAGGAGGTCCTCTGCGGTTGCCAGCATACAAGTTTAGCGCGCTGTAGCGTTTCAGTCATCGTTCGGGTGCCGCCGTGTGGAGATGTTACGCTCGCGGGTCTTGGTAACCCAAACTGCTTGCTCTCAAACTCGGTATAAATGTTGAGCAGCTCAATGGACAGTTTTCATTGAACGACGTTTAATCAAATGTACATTAGTCCGAGATCCTAAGACTTTATCAGTGGACTTGCAGCAATGTAGTACAACAAACGCCATTAGCAAAGCGATAATGTTGTAGTAGTTCGTATTTCATTGGAACATTTCCTTTCACTTTACGAAGCGTGATTCTAGATAGCCTTTCTTGGTGTTAAGTTTTGTATCGAATCGTTCTGCAGAAGACAAGTCACTCGCAAAAGCTTCCAATTTACTTTTCTACTATATTAGTGTGAACTACAAGTCACCGTACCAGAAGCAGAGCAGTAATTTAGGTACTACAACTGTTGTAAAAAAAAAAACGGAAATAAAGCCTTTTTTGGCAAGAAGGTTAACAATTTTATTTTTCGACCATTGGTTCAAGAGCTTGCCGACTCCACAGAAAATAAGAAAAAACGTCGTCGAATGTTAGAAAAGGAAGTTAATTAACCTCAATGAACCTTACTTAAAAGTTCAGAAGTTATTGTACGCCTACTCTGTATTAATACAGTATCTGAAAAGTAATGAAAAACATTCCCTATTGAAATCAAGATCGAAAATATATTGAAAAACCATCATTGGCTGACTAAGGTACGTATTAAAATATATATTATCCCATCATTTCCATGTGCCAATAATGCCAGCTCTCAAATCATTTCCATTGTGAAATAAAAAATTACCGAGGTGCACGTGGTTAGATCATTCTGAAAATTGCAGAGTCTCAAGTTTCAAAATTTGCTTCTTTTTTTTTCGGATAAGGTAGAAGGTATTTGAGCGCCCGGAACCAAGAAAGTACAATAGTCAATAGTGAATGATTCACATAAGTTCTTTCGTTCTGATACTTTCCAATTTGTTTAATAAATGAAGTGATTGATGAAAATTGTATCAAAATTTTATTTTTTACTCCTTGTCATGGTTGTGATTAAATTTCCTCCTCCCTGAAAATTTCCGCAGTGAAGCCAATCTAAACCTCAATTGTTAAAACACAAACGAACCTTCTACGCAGACAATGTGTATTTATTGATGAACAATAGTTTAGGACTTTAGGTGACGGTATTCTTTCGTCCAATACTTTTTGAGGAGAGAAAAGCTACCTTACATCTGCAATCCGGTGACGAACTAATTTTTTAAAAAGTAGCGTAGGCCTAGTAGGTTTTGGTAAAAATATCTGTAAGTTTCTCCAATCATCTAAAATGAAACTTTTCGATTATCTGTCCCCGGTGTCCCGACCACAATGAATGTAATCTTATTTAACAATAGGTCTACCAGGTTGTCACGCCATTTCGTATTGTGTATCTCAAATCTCAATACATCATTCGCAAAAGAGAAGGAGCTGAATCAAATGCCTCGGTGTTTTCGCGTGCCACTCTGTGTACGCAACGTCATGCCCCTCCTCCATGACCATCTTTAAACAGTCATCTGCATACTTCATGTCGTACATGACTGCATGACGAATTTTCGCGAGCTTCGTACATCCCTTTATGCCTGACGGACGCGATCCTGAAGGAGTTCGATTACGTGGAATAACCTTGCTTCGAATTTTGTTTCACTTGTTTGTGCTATCATTTCTGAAACGTCAAATTTGTATTTTTTTGTCATAGTGCCGAAGAGATGAATGGATTAATAATTGACACGTTTTGAGGATTTACTGATTTGACTTTTAACTGAGCATTATTGCAAATAGCATCAATGTGACAGCCCGTTATTGCAATTAATGATCGAAACTTAACAGATGAAGTATTAGAGTTATCATTATTGGTATAAACTGCAGTTATACTGAACTCGATTGAAACGAAAACAATATAATTTTTTGGTTTTAAAATGAAATAACGACGAAGAATCCCAAAAATTCCATTAGATCATCACTAACAGCACCAACCACGAAAACGAGTTTGATGTTCAACCGAACAGGTTTCCTGAACGTTGGGAGAACTGTGCGTTCAGTTGTCCATGAGTCATGTGTCGGTGCAAGCTTTTTATTCTTCAGTATCAAGCTCATCGCAACTTGACTAGGATTTGGGTAGTTGGGGAGCTAACAATAAATACTTCCACACTTACTGAATCTTGCTATTGTGACTGTGGAGCTCCAAAAGATCTTGACTGTAATTTTATGTCCTATTACAGTGACGAGGCTGCAAAAAATTAAAGATGAATATGCTCTTGTTACGGCACTATTCAGCACACAGCCGACACAGGTCGTGTGTTACAGCGAGTTAGATGGCGTTAGTGTTAGTCGTACAATGTCCAGGGTGTAGCAGCAAGGCAGCGACCGTGCGTGCTGCGTGGTGTTGACTGCGGCGGTCAGTGGAGCGTAGGTGGACTTGCTGGCTACGCTGCCAGTATCCTCTACTGGTCCGCCTCTCTTACGCCTAACTTGGAGTTGTCAGTGCTCACTAAAGTCCGCTTGCTATGTCAATGCTCGCTGTTAGGTCGTGGGATGCTCTATTTAATACCATGACACACGTTGTCATCAATCTCAAACTGGGAGAGTCGCTGCTTGTTGATCACTGCGTTGGTGGGGAACAGCTAGAGAGTAAGCGAGCCGGTTGCTGGCTAGGAGCGAACACTTCCATGACGGTTGCCTCGTTGTGCGCTGATGCGTCCAACATACGAACGAACTGACGACGGCCGGACCTCGCGCTTACGCTACGTACGCGTTGGCTGGTTAGCCCTTTGCTGCCATTTATGGGCAGTGCTTGGACTTCTGCGAAGCGATGGTCCTCCTGATTCATCCGGCGCCTTATTTTTTTTTTTATTTCTGACGAAGTCTTGAATATGATGCCCTCTAGAGACACCAGACGTGAGATGTCCTGCTGATCACAGACAGTTATGCTAGTCTTGAATACTGCTGAAAATTTGGGATCGCCGGGATCATGTTCCACCTTGGAACACGTTAAAATCCGAAAATTTTTATTGTATTTTAGACTTGTATTTAATCAAAAAGATCGAAATAGGCTCAATGATTGAACTTAGCTGAAAAATTGTTAGGAATAAAATTATGTAAAATGAAAACATTTTGAAAATACCATAATCGTTGCTCAATATATTCAAAATGATTAACTACTTGAATCATTTTAATGGTACTAATAATGTGACTGGCATGGAAAGCATGTTAATGATTATGTCCAAAATTTAATTTCGATGTCAGATACGAATTTGGTATTCAGGAGGGTGGAAACTAATCAAGCGTGTTCACAAGTACCTACCTTCGTTTGTTGCCAACAAGTCGCATGCGGCCATATTTTTATGGCGAGAAAGTGACCCAAAGTTCAGCTCGGGCACGGCGCTGGAGTGCCTCTTGCATCCTTGCTGGAGTTTGCGTCACTGAGTTCCGTTGTGGACTTGTCGTCCTTGGATTCTCGCGCCTATTTTCTTCTCCGCCTTTTCAGGCCAGGAAAAATTTTGCGTAGGATTGAGAGCTCCGAGAATCTTGTACCGCTTTGCAACGAACGCCTCTCATCCGCTAGTGCTTTGTTTCAATAATTGTGTCGGATTCACGAGTCGTTTCATACGTAATGTGCGGCCACAGATGTCGGAGCAAAATGTTTGGAAACGTATAATCTGGTAACAAATTTTAAAAACGTATAAACCACGCTTGAAATATGTGCGAATTAGCTAAAGATCTTCACAAGGACTCGCTTTACACATTGTTCCAATGACCTTCATGCTCGTTCATGAATATTCTATCAAGCCTGAACACCTAGCGTGCATTAAGCTTAAACTATTCCGCTCAATCAATAGTTTAGGCACAAATTTTATCCGACGAAGTCTTTTCAATGAGTAGTGTGAACATCAGCCCATTTATTATAAAAATTCTGCTCTGTTGTTAGAAAGGAGAATCATTGGATATAAAACATTGATAAAGCGTTTTGACTGTCAGTAAAAACTTTCGAAACTCGCAGGAATGTTTCTATTTCTAATCGTTAGCATATGGGGGACGCTCCAGAGTTGCGTGCTCTCGAGCGCCAGTCTGCGAGGTGTGAGCTGGTCCACGCTTTCTTGGCTCAGGAAGAATCGTTGGAAGAACTGACGCTTCTTGTAAATAAGATCTAGTTGCACTAGAAAATGTTGCCTGTCATATTTGTCACTGCCGATGATCTTTAATTGTTGTTGTAAGTAAAAATCTCGAACTTGGGAAGAATGTCACTGACAGCTATCTATCTCCAAATTTCATCTACAAGTTTTATAAGTAATTTTTCTCGAAAAGTTTAAATTGGTTATCTAACTTATCTTGCTAATCCAATAAACTGATTTAGACATTCTATTCTTTCTTTCATTTCTAAAAATTTAGTATCAATTGCACAAAGAAAGAACACTTTCGTCTCATTAGCAATCCTTCTCTCTCATAATTTGATTTCGATCTCTTATGTTTAGCAAAGGAATCCACGTAAGTAGATTTTTAAACCCGAACTGCGAGCTCATACTTGAATATTGTTGTAGTACTTTGAAGGCACATGCACGCTGTGTGTGTCGACAGCCACGTTGTAATTTGTTGTGGTCCGTGTGTATGCATACCATGCAGCATGCATACAGGCTTTAAATAATCATATTAATTTTTATGGATATGCCAACTTTTCCCTCATAATATTGCGTGACCAATGGGCTCATACATGACTGGTACTTTGGTGTTCGTGCTTTATTTGACTTATTATTCCACGAAGTTATTCCACGCTTAAAATCTCCTCTGTTGTTGAACTCAATTTTCCTGACCTGCAGTTCGAAAGCATTGCAATTTGATTATTAGTTCGAAACGCGACGTCACCGATGATCTTTATAAAGTATCTCTGGTTAAGTGCCTTGTTTAAACGGGAAAACGAGCTCAGCTGTACCTCATATTCGTGCCAAAAATCATTAAACATGGCAACCCTGATTGAGGTGCCGCCATCCGTTGCACCTGCAATCCCGGACGATGGTCTGGGAATGAAGGACAAACCCATTTCTAGGCGACAGGAAATTCCTCATTTCGCGCTGGCATGAAGCCATGAAGAACTTACAAATAAACTGAACTTCTGTAGTACCATGCTTCTGTGGAGGAAGGTCAGTGATGAGCCGAAATCGCCGCGAAGCACAGAACTGGTTTGTTTGTTATCAAAATAGTTTCACAATTCTGCAGCCCATCCTCAAATTCGTGTGAATATTCTTGCGCTTTTAAATTCGTATTATCGTTTTTGAAGCTTTAATTAATAATCGCTCTGTGATTAGTGATACTTTTTTTAATACCAGCAGCTGCCTCTTTAGCTACCATCGTTCTTGCAGAGAAATTCAATTCGGAACACTGTTTATAGCTTTGATTGGAATATATGCCTTTTATTTCCAAGACTTTTCGGTAAAGTAAAAAAAGTTTCATATATGATTTGACTTTCGAGCGATAATGTTAAGCTAAGTAAAACAGTAAGTAAAGTTAAGTAAAACAAAGTTAAGTAAAACAATAAACCCTTCATGTTTGGTATAACTCAGCGAGAGATTTAGAGGACGATCTCAGGTTGTTAGTGCCAGATATTGCTGCATCTCCAAGACGAGGCCAAGAGGCTGAATGTTCTGATCGTTTTATTTGATTTGATCTCTGGACGAGCGCCATGGTCTCTCCTATG